TGATATAAACCGTTTTCAAGGTTTTCATTTCTTGATGTAAATATTTAATAATTTTTGACATTAGAAATTTATCGTGCATTATAGGTAATAAGCTTTATAGATAAATGAAATGAATCAATATGAGTCTTAATAGGAATTAAAACAATCGGTACATATAATACTTAAGAAGACTAATTTTATAAAGCATTTGAAGTCTTCATAATATATTGGAATGTGAGGATATTGAAAAAATGATTAAATGATTTCAAATTACTTAACCTCAAAATGAACGGCAAATAAGATATTTCAACGTTTTTATTATTGTGGACTTCAGTCCAGATTCTCCTGTTAATAGCAATTTCCATTTTAAGACACCAGGGTCAGATTTTGCAGATGCTTTCCTTTCAAATTGTAATCTCATTTAATTTGTTTCTTAATTTTATTATTTTTTAATGTTATCTGATGAATCTCATGTTTTTGAGAGCACTTAACCGTTGCACAAAATATAAAAAAATACATAAAATTAAAACATTGCTTCCATCATTAAAACGACAACATAAATTGAAGCAAAACTGTTTTTACTGCCTGCAGTAAACTTCACTAAAAAGTGAAATAAAATATCTGGAAAAGAAGAGAAAAAAGTTCTCGAAGAGAAAAGAAAAATTTCAGCAGCAGATTTTTCAACAAAGGCGACAATTCCAGATATAAATCCACAAAACAACGTAAATTCGTGTAATTAAAATTGCTTTAGAGGAGGAAAACAAAAACAGCTAAAGCAGCTAAAGCAGCTAAAAGAGCAAAAACTGCAAGAAGAATGCAAGTTGAAAGTACGTAAAATGGCGCCACTAACATCTTCCACAAAGCTGAAAGGGTGAAGTGGATGCTGCACTCTGCCAGCGAACCCAGTAATTCGATGGCATTTTCCCTTTAATTTTGTAGTTTTTATTAATTTTAAGCTGCGAAGAAGCAACAAAAACTAAAATAAAATGGAGCACTTACGATTTTATTGTTTTAGTTACCAAAGTAAAAAAAAAAAACAAAAAATGGCGTCTGAAGGCAACTTTTGCATAAGGCAAGGCTGCAGTTAAGCGAGTGCATTTTCATTCCGTTAATTTGCAGACGGGAATGCAATTCTTTTATCAAATCTACAGAATTGCACACATTTTAGTTTGTTGGCTCGCATGTGTTTAGCGCAGTTTCGTTGTTATTTAAAAAATTAACAATTTTAAAAATTTGAAGCGTGCCTGGCATTTTGTAATGGCAACGCTCCCGCAATCGCCAGGTTGTGTTAAAGATTGGCGTGGGAAAAGAGTTGCCACACTGGTGCGGCTGAAAGTATGTAAAACAACTGCAAATAGCGTCAGGTTTCATGCTTTCCTCTTAACTTTTATATGCAATTTATTATTTATTTTTCTATTATAACTTCTTTGGCTATTTTTAGTTTTTTGCTGTGGCACTTCGGTGCTCTGGTGCAGTTTTGTGCTGCAATTTTTAATTGTGTCACGTAAAATTTTTATTTTCTGCGTGGCCGAATGGTTCACTCAAACACACTAAAAGCACACAAAAAGCACACAAAACAAAACACCGGAAAAACCAAAAGGGCTACGCTCTGGAAAAGCATGAAAAAGGTGTGGGCGCCGTGGGTGTGGCAAAGTGTGCCAACATACAATTTTGCAATTTCGCCATGGTTTCACTTACAATGTCCTTGATGGCGTATTTATGTGAGCTTAATAAAAGCGTAGCTCTGCGTGCCGAATGACAAAATGAATGCAAATGCAAATGTGAGAAAAAACCAAATAAAATTAAAATTAAATAACACAAATAATTTCATTGTATACTTCAAGGCGTACTAAGGCATTTTCATTCAGCTTTTGTTGTTTCTCTCTGTACAGTATTTTTAATGCAATTAGAAGTTTTATGTGCTGCAATTAGAAGTCATGACTAATAATTTCATTAAAGTACGTACACAAGTTAAACGGTGGCTCTCAAAGAATGTCCTTGTTCCTATGGTTTAATAAAAGCCAAGCCTAACGGTACACAATACACAGGTAATGCACTTTTAATTATATAACTATTATTAAATTACTTCAGGTATACTACAGTAATAAACATACATTGCATTACATTTTGCGATAATATTAAAGACTTGTAACAAAATGGGATGTCAATAAAAATTAAAAGATATCATATCAAATAGTTGCCAACATCAGGAAGTACTTTATTAAGATCTCTAATAAGTGTTCACACCCTACGAATTTTTAATTGACCCATATTTTGTCCATTTTCAATTCAAAATAAAAACTGAAATCATCCATATTACTCGATTTCTTTTGGTCAGAAACTTTCCTGTTTCATTTCTTTATTTTATTGATGAAATGTTGCCAAATTGTATGAGAATTTTTTATTCAAAGTGAATTATATGTACAAATATTGACTTGAACTGAGTATTTGGCATTCGTTTATTATTTAATTAACAACTCTGCTTTTCAGGTGCTGAAACTAAGTAATTGATGATTCATTTGAATGTTTGCGTTCATCATTCAAACAATTACACTCACATTTTTTTATGAGATATGACTGAACATGAAATATTGATACTCTGAGTTTTATTTCCGATGACACTTTAATCTGAAATATAAGAATTCGTTGAATGGACGTCAGTGTGCTCGAAAATAATTTTATTTTTAGCTTCACTTGCGATTCCAACTTATGATAAATTCAATTTTTTTGCAATTTTTTTGGCATTTCTACTTTTTGTAATTTTTATTAGTATTTACCTCGAGATATGTTATTTATATTTACTAGTATCTGCATTTTCTGGCCCACTAATCGCAATTGTTTAAATTAATTTTTCAATTGTCTTGTCCGCGATCATGAAATCGATTTGACGTGTGGGTCAATTGAATGTTGCCTAATAATACATGTGAATTTCTAGATCTATATATATTTTTTTATGAAGTTTCTTAAAAAGGAAAAAAACAAATCTAAAAATTTAATCATTTGCACAGTGCGTCTGTATGTCCATAAATTACACACATTTATTTTTGTGATATTTTGACCTAAATTATGTACTGAATTTTAAGGTATTATGAAGTTGGACAAACATTTTGTACAAACTCCTGTCAAAAAGTTAAAAAAAAAATAGGATTAAAATATATTCAGGGTCACATTTTAAATATAATAATGTTTCAAAGGTGGACCAATGGAAAACAAGGTGATGGCCCAAAACTTAAAAAAGCAACTTCTGTAGGAAACATCGGCATACATATAGCTAATCGAATTTGAAAGCATTTTTACTAATTTTTATAAATCGACTGGTTAAGAAAGACTCCACGAATGGTACCTTAATCTTTAACCGATATTATTAGAATTCAGACAACTTATGCTAATAGGTTCTGAAAGGATTCTTTTGTGCAATAAAATATATCTTAACAGTTGTTAATTTTATTTATTCGATGCTACTCATATTACTTTGTAATCTAACTTTTCTGACGATGTTTCATATTCAGTCACAAATCTTAGTTTTGACTTATAGCACGAAGTCCTGGTTTTTTAGGTGCGAGTGTACTGTCGTAGAAATAAGCTATCTAACTAAAAAGTTTGCATGTGTTTTTGTCTTACTTTTGCGATTTAATCATTTTGATTTAATCATAACCACTTGAAATTCCTTCTGAACTAACTTATTTCTTATATACCAAGTAATGAGCACCTACTCATTATTGATACACTTGATGCAGTTCTTTTAAAATATCACTGTTTTTATATAAAAAAACTTCTTAATTTAAACAAAAGCTAAACATATCTTATGATATGTTTGCTTGCAAATCTCATTAATTTAGTTGCAATAATTAAAAAATTTCTACGCACTATTTCAAATCAGTTTGCTTTCATGAGATGTTGTTTGTAACCCAGTTCCAGGCTGCATAATCGCTCAAAGTCAACTATTTTAACATATCTATTTATTCATCTCAGAAGCTTTCATTAATATTAATTTACTTAATTTTGTATATTTTCACACTCAATTAAGTCACCCAAAACAGAGCAATAAAATGAAGGAAAAGTGCGGGCACTGAAAGAAAAAAGAGTTGTAAAATTCGTCATGTTCATTTCTTTTGAAAATTTTGTGTATTCTCATTAATTGTTAACAAAATTCAAAGAAACTTTAATTTGTGCAACAACTTAAACAGCTTCGACATGATTGATTTTGATAGAGACTCGATTCGAACGAAAGAGGAAGGTAAGGAGGGCTTTAAATAAGATTCAATTAAGCAGTTTGCAACTTCGCTGGTGCAACATGGCAATTAACAATTTGTAATCTGAAATGAAACTGCAGTTGAGCTTTCATTTTCATAAATTATACGGCGTTCCCATGCATTCACAATGATTCCAATTCATATACTACTTCATCAACGGCAAATGCAAGTAGATCGAGTCAGCAGGGAAGAAACTGCGTAAAGCGGTAGCGCCAGTGGCATTAACACTGATAGGCGCTGCAACAATCCTAATGACCTCCTAAGGGTACAAACCGAGAATAAAACAAGAGCACAATAGCACACAGCAATTGGAGAAGATGGCATAAGACACGACGCAGAAGAACCAGAAACAGTGAAATTGAATGAGTAATGGTGATGAGGCCGAAGATGCTGATACAACACAGTACGAGCAATAAGAAAATATGGCAGCACTGCATCTGCTTTAACTTGAACTTCAATTTAAGCAACAGTGTCAAGTAGGCGGGCAGACGGGCAGGCAGCCAAGAGTAAGTGGCGTAGTGGAGTTGATTTGCGTAAAAATGTTTTCATAACTTCATAAGCATTTAATTCAATGTTTTACAATTAAGCGTGTCGACGTTGGCTACAGTTTTAGAATTAAATATGAATGCCGTCTGCTGCAGTCAAACGGAACGCAACAGACGAGAACGGCGGTGCAGGCGATATATGCACTACTATATAGTGACTTGCAGATGAAAGAGATTTAAGGCAAACAAAACAAAAACCAAAGAAGTAATGCTGTGTACTTACAAAAAATTCCAGGCACCGCCAACTCCTGCTGCTGGTAATGCATCATCATTGCTGTTCTGTGTACTGCCTCTGATGCCTCCGTTGCCTCTGCTGCCTTCTGAATGCCTGCAATTTTCGTTATGGCAACATTTTACTTAATTTTTATTTAACTGCCTGCACTAACTTCAATACTTTTTTATGTTTCAAAACTTCGGTTTTTCGCTAACAAATTGTAACGCAATTTAATGCCTTTTTGGAGCAATTTGAGCAAAATCTAACAGTCGCATTAGCTTCAGAAATGGTCTGGGCTCATTTATTATTGCTTCATACTTGCGATATTGCAATATGCAAGCACTGCTGCCTCTTGGGACTCGTATAAACCGTAAAAACTCCAATTTCCTGTGCTGGTTTTTCTTCTTTTTCAATTTTTGGAATTGGATGACTTCTGTTTTGCCCTTGTTTCCTGTGCTCGTCGTCCATTTTCGTGTTAGTTGCTAAAAATATGCGAAAAGGTTACTTACATTAAGACTGAAGCGTCTGCGTTTGTTGATGAAATGTACACATTTGCCGCTTATTAGCCTGGAATATTATTTAAAATGAGTTATTTCAATACAAAAAATAAATATTTCACCATTTAATAAAGTTCTCAACACCTTTTGATATTTAAGTAAATCAATGGAGCTGCCACTTTTAAACGAAACGTATTTGATGCAATCTTTGATGATTCATGGTCTTGACTTTTAAAAGTGATTGCCACATGTTTTCCTGGTTAATACTTGTTACCAAATTGTTTGAAAAAATATATTTATGTAAAGGTGTTCATTAATTGAAGCTGCAATCTGCTATGAGAACTAAATAAAAAAGTTGATATGAGTGTTCTGTCCATAAGTTTACAACCTACTCTTGGTTAAGATTAATAAACAATAAACTAACATAAACAAACATAACTGATTCTTTGGATAGTATTATATTTTAACATAAGACTTAAACTAATAACCCTTTAATAAATTGTTTATTTTTAAGCGTACTTGAAAGTAAGTTGTTTCAATATTTTGAAAAAGAAAACTTATTCTTATAAAATAAAAATAAAAACAATTCGTTTAACTGAATTCATAAAGGCACTAAGTCAATTTGAAGATCACTGTGGAACGCGCTTTGTCCACCCACCCAAGTAGTCATGGCATTGCATTTGCGTAACCACGACTGTCGACCTATTTTTATCAGCTCTACGCGCTGCCTAATGAATTCTCTATAAATTTGAATAATTTATAGCCGAAGTAGCTCAAATTACTCAGTGCTATTCCTGAAGTTTATTTGTGCTCCCCAGAACAGAAATATGTGCGTCTCAAGTGGTTAGCACTTAGGAGTCGCATACTTGTCTACGTAATGGCAGCATAAATCACTTCGAACTGGTAACAGCATTAAGATTTATACTCATTGCGAGTTTCCAAAGCGTTTTATTAATGATTTTAATTGAACGTGTCACTTTTTAATATGTCTAAATATTGCCCCAGTGGATGTGGATTAATTGTTGGCGTTAGAGATTTATATTGCCCGATGCATTGACAAGTGGATTATAGTGTAAAACCGAATGAATGCAAATTGAAATTAAATTTGGCCACATTTTTTTCTATTTATATCCAAATTTTTTGATGTTGCTATTTGGCACGAATATATTGACTTATTTGTGATTAAATTTTTAATTTCCTTTGATTTAAAAAGTCAATTATAACTTTTAAAAATGAAATAAATTTTTATATTTTGATTCTAGTTGCTTTTCCGCACACATAAGTCCCACATATGTTGCAAATTACACCCTAAAATAAATTTTGGTCGTTTTTAATGCGCTACAATGGATTTAAGTAGTTAAATTGTTTTATCAGAATCTATTTCTTACATTAATTGAAAATCACGGAAAAACTTTGATGATTAATTCCGACAAAGTGTATATATTTAGTACAAGTTTTTGATAAATTCCTTGAAGAATTTTCTTCATCATTATATACGGTCATTGTTAATCCATTAACAACCTAGAACTATTAAACATTTTTCCTCTCACAATAGTCTATTTTTCTTGGTCGTCCACTTATCTGTGTTTTGAGGATTTTACTTTTAAATAACTTCTGGTGCTTTTTTCAGATAGGTATTCTAAATATGTATCTTAATTCAGCTTTTATAAATCAGTGTAACACATTGTGCCTTCTAAAATATAGTAGACATATTTGCCTTTTTTCTATCTTTTGCCTTATTTACTCGTACTCAACTATTTTAGGTTAGGTTATTAAACAGAACAGTTTGTTTCATATTGTTGTCCTTTAGATTTTTAAAGTTTTATGCTTTACTATTGCTGTCTTCCTAACATAACAACAATATATAAGCTTCTAGTTCATTATTTGCTTTTCTATTCTCTGTCATATAATCAATCCATAAATGGATAAGATATAATATATTCTTTAGACTAAACTAGTGATGCGATCAGTTAGAAATCAAGTGATTAAAAATAGACTAAAGAATAGAGAAAGATCTTGGAATTTGGATCTGTTATAGAGTCCTCAAACAAAAGCACAAGTAGTATATTTGGTTTATTTGTTCTTTTTAAATCAATGTGATATATGATTGGAATGCAGAATATAAATAGATTAGTAGTTAGTTTTGATTGGTAGTTAGGTTAGTAGTCGAATTCAGTATTAGTACTAGCCGATTTTGCCATAAATTAGTTGTAATAACCTCATCATATCGGAGTTTTCAATAAAGTTTTTACAGATTGCAATCTTATATCTTTTACTCATCAAGTGTACTGCTCTTCCTAGTCTACACTAAACGTTCACATACTTTATTTGCGTTATTTTGTCAAATTTCGGAAAGAAAATGGAGAGACGCGTGAACAAAAACAAAAAATGCAATTATGTTAAACACCAAAATTTTTGCATTTCGTACCCGCTGTGACTCAGAAATGAGCTCGTCCTGCTGTTATGTTTTTCGAAATTTTTAAAAATATCAAAAAATTGTTTGTTTGCTTAGGGATTTGCTGGTATCATTGCCTTGACGGGGAAGAGTAGGAACGACAACACAAGGAAGAGCCGTGAGCAGTGCATAGCACGGAGTGAAGTTTTAAAAAGTGTCACACTTGCATTTGCTGCGCTGTCGTTGCTCTGCTATTGTTGTGAGTTATGAAGCAGATAAATATTTGACAGTCATTCACCTCCTTCTCCATGGCATGTGTGAGCGTGTGCGCCCAGTGCAGGCGATGCGAGCTCCATGCACTTCGAAGTTATACAAGATTTATTGTCAGATAAAACGCATATCTGTAGAAATACTTTATACTAAATTGCATAACTGATTGAAAAGTATCGCAGTAGAACTTTCCGCATTATGCGGTTATTCATACCAAAATTTATGCTCATTGAATTTTCAATGTAGTAAATTGAGTTGTAAATTCTAAGAAATAAAATTTGATGTTGGATGTTATTTATGCTTAAGTATTTGAGCAAGAAATTTAAAGAATAAATAAATTTATAATAATGAAGATAAAAGATAAGTCATTCTGTATGAACTTAAGTGATTGGAAGTGACACCCATATGAATATTTATAAAAACATTATAACATCTGATTTCAAGTATTATACTGGCTTATAACACGTATCTACTTATCTAAATTGGACATCTACACCTTGCAAAAATTGTATAAAAAGTTTAACTTTTAATAATAAAATTCAATTCAATCACAGAAATCTTAGGAGTTTTAATTTGTTTTCAAGTGCCGATTATAACTCAAAGCAAATAGGTTAAAGTGCCTAGTCGGTCAAAATAATAAATAAAGCAGATATTGTCCAAACAGTAGTTTACCTGAAGTTGGTTCAAGTGCCAAATTCAATATTCGCAATAGGAACTGGTTCAAGTGTCGAATTCCTAATTATAAGCAACACTTAATCCATTCAAGTATCGATTCAGATTCCATAACAAACGATTTACTGAACGCTTCTTTGCAACAAAAAAAGAATCTGGCGAATATGGTGGTTGCTGAAACTATCACGAAATGTAGCTCGTGAAACTTCACAATTTTAACCAACGAATTGTGATATAGTGCATTGTCTTCATATAAGACTTTTTCCTTCTTCCGCGCTTAGAGTTGTGCTTTAGCTATCGCGTCCCTCAAACGTACTAGTATATGGTAATTATTATTAGAGTGAGATACTTATTTTATCTGTGCCTATCAATCTTCTCATTATCATTGCGCACAACGGGACTTTTAAACTTTCTCTTGGCCGGGTTATTGCTTTTGAAATTAGAACATAGTAGATTGGAGATCAAGGTTTTGCTACTAAATTGATCTCTTTTCTGTGATTAGGGCATCGAGTATTTGAATTAATTCAAAATGCCGTGTCAATTTTTGATTTAAATAGACCATATAGTACTAAAGACGATTAACAGTTCGCGACTACAATGTATTTAACTAACAGAATGCTTAAAAATAATGTAAATTTTGTAAACGTAATTGCTTCCTGTTATTAACATTTTGCAGCCGTCTCTCAGCCTGCGCCTGAGCCTGAGCCAATAACCTGAATACAAATTATGGCCACCCAGTGTTATTACCGTCAACAGAACTCGTAGTCACACGCCCGCGCTGTTATGGGGGCATGCATACAAACATTTGTTGTTTCGCTGCCAAAAGCAAAATTCAATTTTTGTTTTTATTTTTTATTTTTATTTAAAATTTTATCTGAAATATTTTCAACATTTTTTTGCAATAATTCATTTTTGGGAAACTGAATTTGACCCAATTTTGTGTTTTAAATAAATTATGGCAATAATTTTGATTGTATGTTAAATGTTTTATTGGATTTTTTATTTGGAATTGTTTTGTTCCTTGTCGTTGTTGTTGTCGTTGTTGTTGCTTTTGTATATTCCACAAATATTTTTTTATATACAAAAATTATGACGAATGTCGGTTTTATTTAGAATTCATTTTTTATGCACATTTTTTGGTAGTTTTTTTTCTCTATTTTTTCCGGTTTCTTGTTAGTATTGAATATAAAATTTCGAAAGAACTTATTTAATTCAATATTATTGTTTGGAATAAAAATTATTAAATGATTAGGCTAAATTCTGCGAAATTGTTAGCAAATTTTAGCAAATCTAATTTGCAAATTAGTCTTGAAAAAATAAACTTCACTGAAAAAAGTGAAATTAGTCAATTTCATTAAAATTGATATATAAATATAATTAATTTTATCACTAAAAATAATAATATATTCATCACTAAAACGATTTTGTTGTCAAAAAGTCGCACTCGATGGAGATTATGAAGAAATTATGAAATTATCGCATTGAGCTAAATTCAAAGTTCTCAATTCATATGTTAAAAATTTAGCAATATCTATATTCTTAGTACTGAGAATAATTATTATAATTTTTATTAATAATAATTAATAAAAATTTATTAATAATATAAAATACGAACGAAACACCTATGAGTATAATCTAAAAAAAGGTTTGAATTTAAAAGTATCTTAAAACTCTTTTTCCCTCAACATTTCTATGAAAGTATAATATTCTATAATATAAGTATTCCTGGTACTTGTAGTCTCGAAAAATGAATTCACGAATAATTAAATCAAAGAATTATTTCAAAAACCATTGATGATGGGTGTTCGACACTACTCAAAACAGTTGTAACCCGAAACAGTCAGCCAAAAATTCAATTAATTCAATTAATTTTTTGTTGTTGTAGTTCACTACTGTTGGAAAAACCTCTTTATAAATTATATTAATGTTATTGCTTGATTTATGCAATTGGGAATGCAATCTACAATATTTCGTAGGAAGTATTTACATAAAAGCAGAAAAGTGGAAACCCAACCAGCAATGAACATCAACATAAGATGTTCATAACAACAACATAAGAAGTTAAAAATTATGTGACAATATTTGAATGAGCAGTTTTCTACTTGTTTTTGCTGCTTCGAGGTCAAGAACCTCAGAGAAGTTGCAAACTCATGAATGTGGCACTTGGCATACCAAATCCAAAGCAAAAAATCGCACTCTTGATCAGTTTGGCGCCATTTTAAGCGTTGTAATTACAGTTGCCATGTAACTTGTAAGTTATTAAGCCCCCGCATTGGACTGCAGACTGACTTTTGCAACTTCAACTTCAACTACAACAGCAACAGCAAGCAATAACAGCAGCAGCAACAGCAGCCACAACAACAACAAAGGGAACAACTTCAATAGTGGCATTTGCCTCAATAAAAACTTCGCTAAATTTTAAATTCATAAAAATTCTGTCAACTTTTCGCACATTTAGCGACAAAATCTTGATTTAATCATTAGCAGATGCCATTGCTGCTGCTCCCGGCCGCTCCGTTCTTTTGCTTGTGCAAGTGTTAATTGCGTTGCTGATGATTTCACTGTTGCTCTGGTTTTTGGCTTGCAATACTCCGCACTAAATAAAATTTCCTAATTATAACACATTTTTTAATAAAAAAAGTAGCAATATATTTAATATCACTTTATTTACTTAATGCTGGTTATTGAAACAACCATAGATTCTATGATAAATGTTGTAAGTTAGGCTTATAAGATTTTCTGATAATTTATACCATCTGAAAAAATTTACCTCTTGATATAAGAATTTTGCAGTTATCAGTTATCGTATATATTCCAATATTTTTTAGCTAAACTAATAAATTCGCTCTATATATGCGTCCATATCAGATTAATTTTGCATTCATATATATATACATTAATTTTATAGATTTTACATATACATATTCTGCTAATGATATTAAAATTTTTACAAAATTTGTTGACTTGTTTCTAAAATGTCACTGAGATTATTTAGAAAAATAAATTCGTAGGAATAATAATTTAGATATTAACCAGTTTCTTCTTCTTCATTACAAGTTGACATGAAGATAGTCATGTTTATAGTGTGCTATTACATATTGTAAAATAATCAACCAATGTCTACAGAATTTAACTAAGTTATCTATAAATTTATAATATATTTGTATTATGTCCATGATATACATACATATGATATATATTAGTTTACATTCAGACTGTATTAACTATTACTGTTAGAAATCAATTAAAAAACGATCACGTTTATTTCAAATAGTTATTTATTTATGATTGTAGAGATGTAGTGATGCATTAAAAACTATAAAATATGTTCATTTAGTATTTATACTTAAAATTAATTATTTTTCTTACACTTGATCGTTACAACCGCCTTAAACAAAAACGAACGCATAAACAACAACCAGCTGACATATGAATTGACAATTCATATGGACACTGTGTTGCATTTGACAATAATAAACTGCACAGTTGCAACGACTAACAAAAATTGAACTGTGCAAATATCTATCTGATTAGTGTAAATTGGACTAAGCAATGACTTCAGAATCCCATAGCGATTGAGGTCCAAAAAGATTGCGTTTATTTGTTTTGAAATTGAGGTAATTCGGTTTTTTAAGTTGTGTCTAGTCCAGTGAAAAGTTAAAAGTTTATTTTAATTAATAGTTTTTGTATGATTTCTATTTTTAATGTCTGCTCTATAGTAATTATGTTTCGTGAATCTTTTCATTTCAAAGTCAAAAGATGGCGGTGAGTTCTTTCAGGACTCCTCTGTGATTCTTTTGTTCAAAAGTATTGTTTGTATCACCACAGGCCTTCAATTGTGCGATCAGATGAATATATTTTATTCGAAATATATTATACATACGTTCAAACTTCTTATAACCTTCACTATAGCATCATTTTTCGAATAGGAGACCATGTAAATGTTATGGGACCTTAAGAACGGATAAAAATTTTTCAGTGAGATGATGATGATTTACGTTGTGGTATTAATATATATATAGTTTATTCTGTTGCGTAGCCAAAAATGGATACTGAGCGGTGGTAATCTTTCTCCGTCTTAAAAAGTGCGGTTAACGTAATATAACGTAATTAAAAGGGCTCCCAATTGATAATACACCCTATCTATTCTAGTTCAGGGTACCAGAATAGTTTAAATTTGATTGCTCATTTTATTACAGTAACCTTTATTTTTTTGCCAGTGCTGAAACAGTGAGTTTCATCTTCGTCAGCACAAAAGATCTAACATGATCACAGTGCTCCGCTCCGTTAGGAGCTAGTACCCCGTTTATTCCTATCTGTCATCCTTTCTCATGTGTGGTGTTGAGAATAGTTGGGCACCTCTTAAGAACTGCTTACAATATCTAATAATGTTTTCTGTTGATTCGGTTTGTTTTGTTTCATATCTTAACCAATATTATTTATTATTTATGATTTTCAGTGTACCGAGTGTGTGTAAAAGATTAACACAAAACTGTTTGACTAGGCTTATTTCAACATTTGTGTGCTTTTTTAAAGATATTAACTCACCGAATGGCCGAATACCATTCCTTTATTTCACAAAGAAAAACATCTTTTTGGCATTTAATCCATATATGGCTTACCAGTTTCTGCTACTCTGAAGTGGAATTTTATTTTTAAACATTTAAGGTGTGCGCAGGTTTCCTTTTAAGGGTACCGAACCGACAGCCTTTCAGCAGTTGCAGTTGAACTGCAATGCGTGGTTGCAAGTTGCAAGACAGTTTTTGATGCTCTGTTGGTTCTTTGCTGTGTCTTCACTGCAATTGTTGCCTCTAGTTGACATGTGGGAAGTGTTTTGTACTGTACAAAGATTCATGCTGTACTTCCATTACTTTAATGCTTTCAATTATTAACATTAAATAAATTAAAGTAATTTTATTAATTCCACTTTATGTGCAACTCATGTTGCATATTGAAGCAGGTAATTTATGGCTTCATCCTTTATGCATATTAAATATGGAACGCGCAATATTATTTACGATTTGACATACAACCTTTTGACACTTCCGTTACCTTTAGCTTCGAGCGAACATCAATTTAAAAATTTAAAGGTAAAACCACATAAACACAAGACAATGAACACAGTACCAAGCAGCAACCACAAAATTTTAATTAAAACATTGAGTCATTCTTTGGTTTAATTTTATGAAATAGACAGTAGAAACAAATATGAATGAAATTCAAATGGAAATACCCTAAAAAACCACAACAACAAATAATTAAGTTACAAAGTCTCCACTCTCACATATGATAGTGAACGTCAGTAAGAAAGAAGTTTCGTTTCATGTTTAAAGTTCAAGCTGGGAGCGTGAATCATCTGAGATTCCAAACTAGAGATAGTCTTAAAGCCAATTGAAGTTTAGATTCTATTGCGGTCCCTTACCTTTCTTTCACCATTAATGACCTGCCCTTTTATGTGGTTTGGCTTTCAACTTTAGGCTTATGCCTCCGTTTTTTGTTAATAAACACTTTTTAGTAATATTATTTACTCTTACGTTTAGTGACACATTTTGTTAATCACACGTGTTGAATCATTTTAATGAAATTAATTAATGCCCTTTGATGTATGGTCCAACCGCAAAAAAATTCCAACACATCGGCGAGCTACATTGCAAGCAACTGCTGTAGTGAATCGTTTAGCTCTGAGATAATTAAATATTCTCTAAAATTTGTTGTTTTGTTATTAAATTATGTATTTTATAAGCAATTAAATGAAAATTAAATAATACTTTCATTATTACATTTGATTTCTCGATTGAAATTAGCATTTTTTGTGTTCTCTAACAAATTTTGTATTAGATTGAGGCTCGCTTTATAGTTTTAATATTTAAAACTTGAATAAGTCGTTTATAACTAAATGAAAATTCCATCTATGTTAATGTAGACTGAGTTACTGGAAATTCAAAGTACTTTCAAAAAGTATAATTTATACTTTTTTATTTATATTCAGATTTACATTTCGTTTTAAACGTCATTAGATAGTTTATATTTGCGTTGTGAGATTTTTTTATTCAATATACAAGTTTGCTCTTATTTTGTTCATCGTAAATCGAATTTTCACTTTAAACTTATTCATAATATCTGTAGTTAGCAGTTTAATTGGATTTCAACTGCTTGGAATCGCTACAGTAACCAATTTTTTTAGTAGCAGAATCATATATTTTGGTATATAATATTCAATGAATTCAAAGGTCTGCAGTATTACTTAAGTTTATCACGAAATAGATACAACTCCTTTAAATGTTTATAATTTATTAACAAAATTCGTCTTGCATCATTTTCATTAATAAAATCACTTCGCAAAATTTTTGATAATTAATCGAAGATAATATAGCAATAATTGAATCAAATGGTTACATTCATAAAGGGTATTAGCATTATATTATTATTTATCAAAAAGTATCGTTAAAATTTATTTAGAAGTTACTATTAGCAATGTATAACTTTATAAGTAATTAATCTTTTATAATCTTATTAATCTTTGAAAATAATGTAATGAGAATTTTTCAAATTGTGTTTCAGTTTTTATAATTTGTATTACCGTTAGTATATACGAAATAAAAATTTAAAAAAAAATGGGCCAGTCTTAATTACGTTCAAATTATATACCGTAATTTTGATCATTATGGGCCTTTTTATCATGTTATCATGTTATCATGTGAAGAGTAGTGAATTAAATTGGCAAAAACTAAAAAGATTTTTCTATTTTTGTGAAACTGTAGTTCTATAACTATAGTAAAATATTAATTTTTCAGACCGCAAAAATTCAGATTATGTTAGGTTATGTTCAAGACGCCAGTGTTGGTGCAAAACATCAACAATAACACACGGAGACATCTAATATCCATTGTTATGCCTTGTAATATAATAATGGCCAGGAGCAGGCTAGCTTTGTTATCTTAATATATATCATCACATGCTGTCATTTTTTGGTTTTTCAGCTGAAGTTGAGAAGATGCGATAAGACTACTTCCGCCGTTGGGCATTGCAGCTGCTTTGTCTGGACTAGTCCTGGGCTAAGATATAGAAGCTGTTTGACAAATTTTAATTTTACTTCTTCTTCATTTATTAATTTATTTATTAATTTATAAAATTCTTCACTAATGAAATTTTTAATTAAATTTCAGTTTATTAATAAAATAATTACCAACAAATAAATAAAAAAACAAAACAAATCAATATTTTTTCCATTGTAAATGGATCAATTTGTAATTGCACTGTACTTATTCATTCAAACATTATATGGACTGCATTTACAAAGACATTGAAGTTGTAAAAAAAATATTAAAAATTTATTGTAAATAAACGAACAATCGAAGAGTGTACAATGAGAGCTATGCCCACCCACCAAGTCAATTAAATAAAAAATTTATGACATTTGCAAAGTGATACCGATTCCAAATCGACGTAATAAACAAAACCCAAAGCAACTCATAAACAATGTCGTCCTCCAAGGTGTCAATTACCGTATGGCATCTGCTTTTTGTGAACTCCCTGTTGTGCTCGATGATGTCGATTCCGATTATGATGACGATGATATTGGCATCTGCATATGTGTGCTCACATACGGAATACTCGTGTATGAGCATCCTTGCAGCGTTGGCAAGCACAGCTTGATGCAAATAAAATATTTTAATGTGCGCAATCGAAATAGTTCCGATCGAAAGATACATTCGATAGATATGCAAATGTACAAATTGTTTTTAGTGTCCACTTTGGCATTGGCAGATTCGTTTTTTTTGTGTGTCGTTGTGGCTCACCAATTTATGTATAGAAATAAGCCACTTTAACTTTTGTGCTGGAGAAGAGACTAAAGTTAAGTTGCAAGTGAATTACTTT